GTGGTGCCAGCTGGTCCTGCCCATCCTGGGAGGAGGGTGTAGATAGATCATGGAAACATAGGATCATAGAATAGTTTGGATTGGAAAGAACCTTAAGTTCCAACCCCCTGCTACGGGCAGGGACACCTTCACTAGGCCATATAAAAGGGAGATGAACAAATTAATGATTCTGAGCCAGGGGAGGCTACAGGAGGAGCAGAGGCTGGGAAAAAATCCCCACCGGCAGCCCCTGCTGTAACACCTGCTGGATTATCAGGATCAAAGTGGGACACCAGTGTGAGGAAGATGAATTGCTCACTGCTTTATGGAGAAGGAGAGTCATTTTGCATTGACACTCTATCTGTGGAGTGAGGCTGCCTGACACCTGATAGGGGCTTGTGCAAAGGTCTTAAGGAAAACATCAGTCCGTAGCGGCCATAAACGAACACCTCTGAGAGAAAGTTTAAAATAGATGCAGCTGATGGGCTCGTGTAGAGCTGCTGTCCCACATGGATGACCAGGGATCTCCTGAGCTCAAATGCAGCATTCTGGTAATAATACAGCAAATGATTGAAACTCTTTGTCAGTAAATTCAAATTCAGCCATTCACACCATGAGCTCCTGTCGGGAGCCCCAGGAGAGGAGGAATCATCTAAGCCTTGCTGTTAGCATCTCATGACTGGTCTTGTAGGGCCTGCCTCCCCTAGCCCCTTGCCAGCAGCACAGACCTGGTGTCATCACAGTACTGTTGAGAGAAACACAGTTCGGCACAGGAAGGCTTTGGGATCAGAGCCCAGAGAGGTGAAGTCCAAGTTTAGCTATTGTAAGAGGCAGGCAGCAGTGTGGGGTCATGGGATGAGTCTGCTGTGAGACCCTATGAGGAACCCTGCAAGATGCTGTCCCCCTGGAGGCACTTCTCAGGGAGCAGCAGGCACTTTGAGGGACCTGAGGGACTGGTGTGGAGGGAAGGCAACATAGGCTTGTGCTGCGCAGCAGAGCAGTGATGGAGTTGGCACTGCATCTTGAGCTGCAGCAGACTTAGCATGTATCTTCTCAGGCCATGGTTGTGATTGAGCTGTAAAACACCCTGGCTGCTGCTGCCTGGTGGCATGTCATCATCATTGTCTCCTACTGGAGCTGTTCTGCTTTACACAACTGATTTGCTCTTCAGGAGGAGAGGGACTTGTATCCTTCCCTTGGCATCTCAGGGGGACGTAAAGAGAAATTAACATTTAGGCCGACACCAAGGAAATTCGTCTGCCAACATGAAATAAGGAGGCTGTTGACAAATTTCCTGAAGATGAAAAAGGAACTTTTCTGCATCATAAAAAGTTAGTTTAGGAAATGTCACTGGAAAACTCTGTTACGTATGCTGTGTACACTGCAGTGACTCAAAACCCTATGGTAATCCAGTGAGCTGTCTTAACCTTGAAAAGTCTAATGCTTAAAGTGAACAGGTTTAGACAAATTCCATACCAGGATAATTCACTTCACAGCACTGAAATCTGCCCAGAAGTGGGATTTGTGCATCTGTCACAGATGAGTGTCAGCCTAGGAAGATATCACTTCATTGCTCTCTTTTTTAGGATACAGTTGTTGCTAGTGCTAATATTATGCACCTAATCCTGACTTTCCTTCCCTCCCCCTTTTGCCATTTGCTCTTTTTTCTTTGTCTTACCCGGAGGCATCTTAGCCTGCCCACCCCACTCCCCTGCTCTGTAACAGGAGCTTCTCAGCTGCTTTGGTGGGTGATAGAAAGGCCATCCTGAATGTCACCTCCTCGGACAGTTCTTCCGTTGGTGCTTGTTGTGAACATGAGGAGTGTGAGTAAATGGCACAACTCTGATACTCAGTGAAGAGCTGCTTACATCCACATAAGTTTGCTGCTTTACCTGTGTTTCCACTGCTCTACTGGCTGGGCTGTGCTACTCTTGAGTCTAGCTATCGTTTAGCTGAGAGCCACTAAGAAAGATGTCATCCTTTTAAGGCAGACTGGATAATCATCAGTCATAAAAACCCTTTACGCAGATGAAAGACAACATCAGCTTCTCTGTCTGTATGATGACTCTGAGCCATATATAGACCAAAACCTACAGAAATTCAGTCTCTGCAAGGAGAACCAGGATTAGGAGATAGGAAGGCCTCTGGAATAGTGAACCCGGACATCAAATCAGTGCTTACAGGTGGCCACAAAAGGCAGAGTATTAGAAATTATTGAGATCAACTGAAAACAAAACAGAAATAATTGTGTCAGGCCCACAAACCACCTGCTCTCTGCAGTTTTGTCTTGTGCAATTTGGAAGGACACAGAGAAAGATGACAGAATTGATGGGAGCACTGAAGACACAGCTGTGTGGACAATGACCTTTCACTTCGGGAAAGGAACAACCAGGTGGGAAGATGATATGCTTACACAATACTACAAATACTATAGAAAAAGTGAAATTGGATTTTCACCAAGCATCCGACGTACTCAAGCACAAAACACCAGCTGGACCTTTGCTCTGTCTGCTGATTCTCAAATCTATGAGACTATCTCTGCTTGATGGTTTTTTTTTTCTGTTCCTGCTTTCTGACAGCTGAGCAAGCCTTATAGATCCTCCCTGTTTTCAGCTAAGAGATGGATGCACAGCTGCTGTTTCATATTTGCTCAAATGTCCTGAGGTTAAGTTTCATACAGCAGCTGGAAAAGCAAATTATTTGGGAGTAAAATTCCTGGAGAAAGGGAAAAAAGGGAGTAAACCAAAACCTTGGTGCTTAAGAAAAGCCTGCTGTAATCAGTAGTGTTGGGAAGCAGGGGATAATAATCACACAGCAATCACAGCAAAAGCTTTGCCTGTGCCAGAGCTCTGCAAGGCCAGATCACACTGTGAGAAGGCACATGGAGCAGTGGGTAGTGTTAAAATAGCCACTCCCAGAAACTACAGCCTCTGCTTTTCCCCATCTATCTCAGCAGCTGCAAGCCTGGAAACTCAGGCTTTGTAAACTACATTTATCTGTTCAAGCTCAGCCACTTCCACCTCCCTTTGCAGGAGCAAGCCAGTCCCTGTTCTTCTTTGCTAAAACTCCCCTTTCCTCAAGTGCTGTTTATCAGATAACTGGTAGGAACACAAGGGAGAAGATAGCTTGAAACAGCATCAAACTAATTAGGAAGCATTCTAGTGCTATAGTACCTCAGGGAGTTTTGGCAAACGAAAGCAAAACTGGTGCTTGTTCCTAATGGGTTTGCTGTTCAGCCTCTTTCTTTTGCACTAATGACTGGGCAGGATGTGCTTCCTCTGGGAATTTTGAGGGAATATATGCTAATTCCTCTGAAAGTAAGTAACACATGCACAGGATGGACAAACATCTCTGAATTTCTCAACACCAGGTCATAATTGGTTGTTATAAAAGAGAGGGACCTAACTTCAGAAGCACATCCAAGCAAAGCTGCTTGTCACCAAGTCTGTCACCTCTGTGATAGTGCTTAGAGACAGTTGGTAAACCAGCAGACATTGATGTGTATATAAACACTGAACAGAGGTATTATACAAAATTTATGTTCTCGAGTATTTGCAGCGTTTTATCAGGGACCTGAGGGTGAGCAGCTGAAGTGACCTGTACCCAGGCACAGGAGATGCTGCTGTCTGTGTAGGCATTTCAGGCCTGAATGTCCTACAGGCCATTGGCCCACAGGATCACTAGCAGGGTGTGCAAGGGGATCCCTGTTGAAGGGGATGTTTGCTGTATCCCATTAGCATTATAGATTCCATGTGGGGGGACAAGTAGGTCACTTGAGAAGGCCAAAGGCTTCTTCTTAGGCTTCATATAGACATACAGAACATGCTTGTGCTTCTATCTTGTGTTATTGGCAGTGACAGAGAAAATTCATTGCTGTTTTCAGTAAAGTGTGTGCGTATCTGGTTTTGCTCCATTCACAAGGCATTTTTCACCAGCTTGAGGTGGTTTATGCCCTAGAAGGCTTCACCACATGGGTGGGACATCGTGTGGAGGGTGGGTATCTGCAGAGATTGGAATGATAAGAAATGTCCCAGGTATGAGAGTCTACATGTTCCTTTGATCTTAGCCAGTACAGCCATTCACAGAATGACAGAAGGGTTTGAGTTGGAAGGGGCCTTTAAAGTTCATCTAGTTCAAAACCCCATGCCATTGGCAGGGGCATCATGTAATCTTACTCCCATCAATGTTATGATCAGAAATAACACCCAGTGGTGATGTCAGCCATAGTTCACTATATCATACACACATTTTCTGACAAATGGTACCAGGGAGATACTCACCAGCATGCAATTAGCACTGTGAATGTGTCCAGCCTGTGATAACAAGAGGACCCTCCTGTACTCTGCCTGCCATGTTGCTCCTAACCTGGCAAAACTTTATGATGTGATGTGATGCACTTCGCTGCCCCAGAGAGCTCTACAGTTCTGTGCCTCCATGTCACACTGTTCTTCAAGGACTGAAAACTACCAAAGCCTACTGCTGCTCTGGAATTGGTGTTCTGGGGACACATGCTTTGACAAGTTGCATGGGATTAACTGCCTTGAGCAATGCCTCGAGATCAAAAATTTATGCCTGGGGTCCACTTGAGAAAAGCCATTTTTTCAGGACACACTCCATGAAAATTTCTGTTTCTTAAAAGCTACAGATACCTTTGCTGCTTAGCTTTGAGCAGTTATCTGCTCTGGATAGATAGAGGGAGCCTCTACATTAAAGCCACAGAAATTCTGTTGTGAAGGACCATCTCATGATCTGTAGTTCATTCTAGCCCTTCAGCAGATCTATTGCTGATGCTGGTCACATTAGTCATGGCTTTGATTAGCCAAGCTATTTGGACACATGCCCCACAGCTTCTCCAGGAGCCTGTGCCATTCTGCATCACTCAATAGTCAAGTATTTTCCTAATGTCTAACTAGATACTTTCAAGCAACAATTTGCTGTGATTGCCCCCTTGTTGCACTGTTTGCTACACATGAGAAAAAGAAAGCTTGACTCATTGTCTTTGTAGCTGCTCTCATCTATATTAGCCCTTTTTTTCCTCAGACTTAACATGCCATCAAACTCTTTTCATAACAGAAGTATTCTAGACCCTTGCCCATGTTTCTAGCCTTCTTTTGGACCCTGTCCCATTAGTTCACATCCCATTTGAACTGGAGAGCCTAACACTGGGCAAGCTGTTTCAGATGAGGGCTCACCAGTGTCAAGCAAAAGGGGTAACAGCTTCCTACAATCAGCTAAACACACGTCTAACAGATCATCTTTAAAGTCTATTCAAAATCTAACCATTCTATAATTCTATAGTTCTATTCCTTTTCCTAACACAAAACCTCCTGTTTCTCATATTTCCAGTTCAGGAGCTTGATGACCCTGACTATGCATGAGAGGGAGGCTCTTGCTAGCCAACTCCAGCAATCTGTAGCTACATCCAGTTCCCTTCTCTAGCCTTGCCGTGCTGTCCAGCTAAAAAATGCCTTCTCACTCCTTGTCTGATAGCTAACCACAGGGATCAGGAGAAGAAAGTATACATCTTAAAGGCTGGCAGAGGGGAGGCAGCTGCCTGATCTCTGTCTCAAGAAGGGTCTATTTTCAGCACAACTGAATCCTTTCTCCTCCCTGAGGAATTTGTGCACTGCCGACAATGCTTTGCTGTGCAGGACAGGCTGTATCCAGAGATGGTTTTCAGTCCACCTCTTAACTGTGCTGTGGTTTGCTTCTGGTCCCAGTGAAGTCCAGCCCTGGAGAGATGGAAATAGGATTGACAAAAAATGAGTGACTGGCATGAAATGTTGTATTCTTCTTTTGCATTGAGGCACTTGCACTTCTTTTCAACAGATCCCTTCCAGGACAGATTTCTCCTTAGCTGCACCAGGACATGGGAAACAGGGCAGAGTTTTCTCTCATATAACTTACTGTGACCAATAAGCTACAGTGAAATCTGTATCATCTCCTTCAGATTAGACACTGCTTCTTTGTAAGAAGCTTTCTAATAAGCCACTGTGCCAATGTCAATAACTGATACCTGGGTGGGACAGATGAGCTTCATAAATTAAAATGAAAGCAGAAGCTCAGTAGCTTAGAATGCTTTCCATGGATGCTTATGCCAGCTGAGCAAACACTTATCTTCTGTGATCTTGATGTCATACATCAAACCACTGAATGCTGGGTTATTCTTCCAAACTTTTTTGCACTTTCTTCTGCCTCCTCTCTCAGTCTCCACAAACAGTACAATTATCAGATGTCTTTCGCCTGTAGACATTCACTGGGAGTTCACGTACTACCTGTGTTCACAGCATATGCTATTACAACTGACATTGCTTTTGCCAATAATTTCCTTCAAAAAGGTATTTTAAAAACATCTCCTGAAAACACTGAATGAGAAGTTCTTGTTTCCCATGTTTTATTTAGTTAATGCAAAAGGAGGAAAGAAAAGGAAGTGGATCTGAAGTTATAGTTTTCAAGTGAAAGTAGTCAGTGCTTTAACATTTTATCTTCTTGTTGACTGCCTAATAGAGTTTTTTAATGCTAGTTCTTCCAGAGGAGTTTCTAGAATAGCCTTGATACTCAGTTTGAATGGCACTGGACTGTTTAATGCTGAATTCAGTCAGGCCCTTTCACTCCTGCTGGTCAAACCCACCAGGATTATTTCTGTATTACAGTGCAGATGACAGAAAAGTAAGCAGACACACTTTGTGTCATCTATAAGTGCTGCTTTGTGGTGGAGGTTGTATTATTTAATATAAAGTACATAAGTTTTAGCTGAACTCAATATGCAAATTGTTCTTGGCATGAGGGCTGCATCTCCATATACAACATTCTGGAGAACTTTGCTGTATTTCAGTAATCATTCAGACTTTTTTATACCAAGGACCTTTCAGGGATTTAACTCCAAGATACCAAGCAAAGTGCTTATGCCTGTAGTCACATTATGGGGTTTATAACTTTGGGGTTTATAATGATACTGAGGCACTAATGCAGAGCTATTACTGTAGACATAGGTCAGTACTTCTGATGGGCACAGAAATACAAATTAGGGATTCACAGTAACAATAATTTCTTCTTCTCTGAAGCCAGCATACATATTGCATTTGTCCACAGAAACCTTCAGCCATAGTAAGACGTCCTCCAACGTTTGATGAGCTGTTGGGTGGGGCAGTATGTCCTACAGCCCCTCCACACACCGGGCAGTAAGGCAGCATTCCCAGTGTTCCTTACAGGATGTGACTGTCTGCAGTTATCTGAGTTCTCTTGTGTAAATCCTGTGTCATTTCTCTGTATGCAAGGTAGCTTTCCCTCCTAAGATGACCAGAGCCATAGTATACCTGGACTTTCAGAGCCTGAGGTCTGTAGACTCAGACCAAGAAGAATAGATTGGCAGAAATTATCTTCTCTGACGACAGGGAGCCTGCTCCTTCTTGTTTCAGTGAATAGCTCTATAGCTGCCATTTCTCTGTGTCAGTGGTGATTCTTTTTGGTGACAGGAAAGCTGCCAGATTCACACCTTCAGGACAATGATGCTAGTTCTTCTACTGAATGGGATCACAAGCTCTTACCCTTCAACCTTCAGGATGTCTATTATTTCCACTTGGCTGTTAAGGCCCTATACTGAAAACAGCTTAAAACTGAGTGGGCCAGAATCACTTTTAGAACCAGATCCTGCTGGCTGGTAGTCCTGCCGTTCAGACTCTCCTCCAAGGATCAAACAGAGACTAGCTTTAGTGAACTGGATAGTTCAATACTTGAGATAGTGAGAGCCAAGTCCCTGAAGTAAATGAAAAATTATTTGGTCTCTAAGCCAGCATATGCATTCTTACCTCCATGGACATTATATTGAACCTACAGGTATCTCACCCTCTGTGTATTCAAAGCATGGAGTTTACCGTTGAAATGTAGAAGTGCCTGTGCACTTTGGTTGCTTTGCTTTAATGTCAAAGAAGGTCTTTAGCTGGAAGTCCACACATGATTTAGTTCACTCAATTAACAATACTGGTAAACATGGTGATAAGACTTGAAGTCTTTGTGATTCTGCAACAGTTAGGGCCCATTTAACATGAAGTGTTTTCTGTGTTAAGGATGATGTGCAACAGGGTACTGGTTAGGCAAAACCCAGAAGTCAATACTTCTGGGTTTAGTGGTGTAAAGGAAGGCCAAAGCCCTGCACCTGGGCAGGAACAACTCCATGCGTCAGTATGTGCTGAGTACTGACAGGCTGGAAAGCAGCTTTGCAAAAGAGGACCTGGGGGTCCTGGTGGACACCAAGTTGAATATTAGCCAGCAATGTGCACTTGCTACAAAGAAGGTGAACCTTGTAATGGACTTCATTAGGAGGACGTTTTCCAGCAGATTGAACGAGATGATCCTTTAACTTCTGCTTAGCACGGGTTGTCCAGTTCCAGGCTGCCAGGTATAACAGATACAGCGCTACTGGGGACTCTAGCAAAGGACCACTAAGATGACTGAGGGACTGGAGCATTGTTCCAATGAGGAAAAGCTGAGAGAGTTGGGACTGCTCAGCCTGGGGACGAAAAGGATCAGGGGGATCTCATCAATGTGTATAAACACCTGAGGGGAAGGTGCAGAGATGGTGAAGCCAGATCTCACTGGAGGTAGATATCCCTACCAGCACCCCTTGATGCCTGCTCCCCAGAGAGGCAGACATGATGTACACTCCTGCACTCGCCATTTCCCACTGGCTGGCTCTGGGCTCCTCCTGGACAAGGTGTGGGGTTTTTCCATAAGCCTCCCCATGCCCTCAGTATGGAGCTTTGGGTTTGGGCTCCAAAAACATGTGCACTGCAGTGCTGCAGCTCTGCTTGGAATGGCCTTTACAAGCATTGGATATTGCCCAATTCTGGATATCACATCAGATCCATGCACCGTTTTCCTAACTTTGCCCTTGAGTTATTCACTGAGCTCCTCTAATAATCAAAATGTCAATGACCATGGGAGGAATGTGTTTAAATCTGACAGGACTTAAAGCAGCTCACATGACAGTGCCCTTCTCCTAAAACTAAATGAATCTCTCTACAGGATTACCAGCAAATCCCCCTTCTCCTCCAGTCTATCAGCATTGTACAGGCACGTCTGCACCTACAATGCTCTCATAAAGGTATCACTGTGTTTTTTTGTAAGTGTGAAAGATTTGTGGTGGAATGGACATGCTAGACTGAGGATGTATTTTCTGGAGAGCATCTGGGACTGCACACTGAAATGATGTGTTTGTGCACATGTCCAATTCTTTGTATAGTTATGGCTGACTAGAGGATTTTTCTACCACTTGTACATAGAAAAAAAAAATGTGGGAAGGGGCCATTCCTAGATCAGAGTTATCTTTCCTAAGGTTATAGGCATGGGAACAGCTGGATAAGCTAAGAAATTGCTTGCTAAAGAAGGGAGCATCTCTTGCTCACTGGCACTGACCTGCAGATCAGAAGTCTCAGCAGCCAGAATCCCTCCCTTACAACAAGGTGGGGCAGAGGTTCCCAACAATATTTCTTGGAGAATGCCCCACTTGTTTGCAATCTGAAGTATGTAGATACATACATGCACACGCCTCTCTGCGTGCTTGTGTGCATGCACACTCTTCCTGAAATGCCTGAAGACGCCTCACATCTTTGCCTGAGACACCAGCTTTAAAGTCCAGGTAGAACCCAGCCTCTCATTGCTGTAGTGTTTGGCTGGCCATCTTGTTGTGTCTTGTAACCCTCATGAACTGTTATACATCTGCACTTCTTCATTCAGGATTTTACCATCACAACCACCAAAAGCTTTTAATAATGCTAATTTATCCTTTAACATCCTGATTTATCTATTATACAGCTGGGATAGCTGCAGCATAGACATACCAAGCAATCCATCCTGGGACTGACAGTGAGTCGGTGGGAAAGCCAGCAATAGAATCCGTAAGTCCTGCATCCAAGTTCTCTAAGTGCCTTGACTAGTCCAGATTCCCTCCTTAACACCCTTGTGAGATTGTTTATAGGAGATGTATTCATATAGTCAGTAAGACAGCAAAAATTTCTAATTATATCTAGTCATGTCAAATGACAATTATGCCCTTAGTTCAGTTTGCCAGACAATGCTTTACCAAAGAAGGTTTGCCAAAAATTTTTTGACCGAAGAAAGAGTAGGCATCTGTAGCATCTGCAGACTAGATCATATAAAACATCCCTGCAACAAGTCTGCCCTGTCTCCAGGGACTGCTTCAAGGTAAGTGTATGGTGTCCACAGGCTTGCAGGAAGGTGATGGTGCCCTTATGAGCCTGCCACAGCATTCCTGCTGCCTCCAGCGCTCATTTCGAGGACAGCATGCATTTTCGCAGCTGAAGTTTTACATTTGCTTTCCAGCCACCTGCCTATTTTCACTCTGGAATTCTGTGCAGCAGCAAGTAAGGATTTGCCTTTTCTGTTTTACAGTACTGACCAGCTGCCAGCCTGCAAGCCACCCATCTGGTATCAAGAGAGGTAAGAGCCTGATTTATTAATTCTTAGAGGGCAGAGAAAGATCCTTTGGGTGGGATTTCTGGAAGGGTCACTGCTTCACCCTGTATTCAAACCCAGTGTGATGAGAGTAGAAAGTGGTGAGATGGCCAAGGTTTTAAAGTGGATGCGTTTGAAGTTTCTGACCACTGATGACACAGCAGAAAATCCCCATGGGGAAATTCTTCACTTCTTCTTAACTGGGATCAAGGCATGCTGGCTTCCCATCTTTGTTATAGCAGCAATAGAACTGGACCAA